CCTGGAGTTGCCAGTAGAGTTTAGCTGGATCTTGTAATGTGGGTGCTTCAGATGACTTTTTGTCACTCCTGCATTCACCAGATTTTGGTGCTCATTGGGGTTTGGAGGTCACTGGCAACAGTAAAGATTTGCCTACCTGGAGCCTTCTCTTCTCCAGGCTGGACAGCCCCAACTTCCTCAGCCTGTCCTGGTGGGAGAGGTGCTGCAGCCCTTGCATCATCTCTGGATGACCCCACAAACCCAGAGTTTGTGGGTGATACCAAATTGGACAGGACAGTTGTTAACAGCAGGGTTAGGGACCTCAGAGGACCTTGTGAAACCTTGTGAAGTTCAGCACAGGCAAGTGCAAATTTCTGTACCTGAAAAGCTCTCTGCAACAAGCACAGGCTGGGGACCACCTGGCTAGAAAAAGGACCAATGGGTTTGGGGGGTCAACAAGTTGAACACGAGTCAGTGGCATGATCTTGTGGCAATGGTGGCTCAGTAGATACTGGACTTTATTAGTAAGAACGTAAGCACATCAAGGTTTATTCCCTTTATTTGGCACTCCAGTAGTCCACTTACCTGGAATACTGGAGTCTCCAGTTTGGGCTCAACAGATAAAACTGGAGCAAGTCCAATGAAGGGCCACCAAGCTGGTCAGAGGGCTGGAGGACACTTCATATGAGGCATCCAGGTTTGTTCACTCTCAAGATGAGAAACCTGGGGGTGGGATCTTATGCCTGTTTTCTGCTACCTAACAAGTGGTTCTTACAGAGACTGTTCTTAAAAACACACACACAAAAAAACAAACAGCAAAAGCAACCAACACAAGTTGCAGCAGTGGGAATCTGATTAGATACAAGTTAAAAATTCTTCACCTGGAGAGGGGTTTAGCCCTGGAACACATGCCCAAGGAGTTTGGGGAATATGTATCTGTGGAGATTTTCAAAACTTGCCTGGGCAAATTCCTGTGCAACCTGATGCAACTTCAAAGCTGGCTGTGCTTGGAGCAGGAGCTTGGGCTGGATAGGCTCCAGATATTGCTTCCAACTAAATTATTGCATGGTTGATGTGCTGTAGTTTCAACAGGTGACTTTTGTCCTGGATGTATTTTCAATATTAAGGTTTGCAAAAAGTCCATGTAAAAAATAAAGAGGCTTTAAAAATCTTGGTGCCTTCCTTTCAATGCAAGGGAATTTCATCCCCATCTGTAACTGAAGCACACAGAGTCTCTTCTGCTTTTCTGCTCACTTTGGCTGGTGCAGGTTGAGCTGGAGCAGCCTGGCAATTGAAGAGCTTAGGATTTCACTGCTGGGATTTGATAATGTGAAGGCCATGTCTGTGCCCAAAGAAGCTGAGTACCTAGGGCTACATGTTTACATGTTTAACTGTGTTAAACTCTATTAAACTATGATAAACTAGCACTGCCAGGGCCTGGGCACAGACACAGAAAATAGATGTTCTGCACTGTTAAACTGTAACATGGCCCGTGGCATAGTTTGTTGCCTTATCCCAGCTCACACTCTTGTAGGCAGTCCAGAACATGTTTTGAGGTTGGTTATAGGACAGGGAATCACCACTCTGTTTTAGAAGATAAGAGTGTTTAATGGTATGGAAGTGGTTTGCTCCACCACAGGTGGCCTCCCAGTGAATGTGTAGCTGAACAACATAGCCTGGACCTGGGCACTGTTAAAATACAAGTAGGGGTGGCGGTGTTAGCACTGACTGCAGCAGACTGGGCTATGTGGAAGAGGCTCTCTGGTTGGATCTTATAGCTCAAGCTACATCTGCATTGGCAGAGGGGCTGCAGAAGGGGCTAGAGCAGGGTCCCACAACTGTCTGCAGGCACTATGGCATGTTGATTCCAGTGGGCAGCATGGGCAAAGCTGTCCCCTCCTGTGTCAAAAAAAAGATGCAGCTACTCCCTGATGAAGGTAGCATCAGGACTGTGCTCACCTCCTGCCTACACCTCAGCTACTCTGTCCTGAATACAATGTGAGAAGGAGCCTGCTGCCTGGCCCTGAGGCTGACTGACCTCATGTCCATGCAGCTAAACCCTCTGCCATGGATTCCTGCTTCTCCCCTTTCCATCCAAAGTATTCAGGGAGGCTTTCTACAAACTGATGATAGGGAAATAGCCCTAATTTATCTCAGACTATACTACCTGTTTGGCCTAATCCTAGTTGGTAAAATCATGTTAAGGAACAGGGTAACAGTTAAGCAAGTGTGATAATGGTGTGTCCAGATTTGAGCCCTGTTTGGTTTCCTAGTGCAGATGCTGCTGCTAAAGTCAATATGGATGGAGATCACAGCCTGCTCAGAACTGCATGGGACAAAGGAGATCACTGATACCAAGATGTGCTTCGTGATAGCTAAAAAAGCTGGTGATGATAGTGTGAGGGTATATGAGAGACAAAACTCCTAGAACAGGAAAGCTGGGGAGGGGCTTTTCATCAGAGAAGACAGTGATAGGACAAGGGGTAATGGTTTTAAATTGAGAGAGAGGAGATGCAGGTTAGATATTAGGAAGAAATTCTTCACTATAAGGGTGGTGAGGAACTGGAGTTGGTTGCCCAGGGAGGTTGTTGATGCCCCATCCCTGGAGGGTTTTAAGGACAGGTTGGATGAGGTTTTGTGCAGCCTGATTTAGTGGTGGGGTTCCCTGCTCATGGCAGGGGGTTGGAACTGGATGATCTTTAAGGTCCCTTCCAACCTTGTGATTCTTTAAAAGTGTTTTCAATGTGCTGAATCAAGGGATCTGGCACCTGAAGAACCAGTCCAGTTTGTTAAGGTGGAGGGCAGAGTCTGTATTTTGTTACTGCTCATTCTTACAAGAAGAGTGGACCAAAGGCTGACCATCTCTGGTGACAATGCATGCAAAAGACACAGGAGCAGCCTTGGGTAATCCTGCACCCCCCTGCAGAGGCAGGGTGTTCTGTGCCAGGAGGAGAGGCCCCAGTGCAGGCAGCTGTGGGACACTGTTCTGTGTGAGAACAGTAACCAATAAAAAGAATAGGCACCCTCCAGGAAATCCTGTGCAGTGCTTAGATTTGATGAGTTTCTCTCACTGGACATCTGACAAAAAGCCAATGAAGCAGGATTGCTGCGTGCCAGATGTTTCCACTGGAACCTCTAACACTCATTGGATTGAAAATCCCCTAAGGAAGTTTGGGTGGTTCAGTATGAAAATGCTCACATGGAGCCCTGTTCTTTTGTCAATTGCAGCATGTGAAGTAAAATGCTGTCCTTGATTTGAGAAAAAAATGACATGTTGCCCTCTAGGCTTAATTTTCTGTGGCTTTCCTGTGTCTCTCATGGCTTTTTTGTTGTGCTGGCTGTAGCACTCAGTACCTTTTGGGGTTCATTCTCCCTTTCCCCATCTCCTGATTAGTGACCAAAAAGGGTTTGTATTCCTTTCTCTGCAGCTTTCCTGTTGCTTTTAGCAGTAGCTTCCTGTTGAATAAATATCTTCTGTCATCTTCCCTTTTGCTTGGCCCTGGCTGGATAGTTAAAGCAGACTGTCTAGCACCTAAAAGTCTGAGAGCTAGTCTGTACAAATAATTTTCACCTTAGCTGAGGAAACAGGTGCAAATAACATGAGATAAAATAATAAATAGGAAAATGAATAGAATAGAATAGAATAGAATAGAATAGAGTAGAATAGAGTAGAATAGAACAAAATAGATTAGAATATTGTTTCAGTTCTAACTACAAGGGACCTGCAATGATCATCTAGTCCAAATGCCTGACCACTTCAGAGCTGAACAAAAGTTAAAGCAAGTTATTGAAGGCATTGTCTACATGCCTCTTAAAGACTGTCAGGCTTAGAGCATTGACCACCTCTCTAGGATGTCTATTCTAGTGTTTGACCACCCTCTCTGTAAAGAAATTCCCTATGTCCAGTCTAAACCTCCCCTGGCACAGCTTTGAACCATTCCCATATGTCCTATCACTGGATTCCAGGGAGAAGAGCTCAGCCACCTCCTTCTCCACTTCCCTTCCTCAGGAAGCTGTAAATATTTATCTTTGGAGCTTGGCATATTTCTAAGTCCTGAATATGCCGTTTCTACTTGCATGGAATAAACACCATTATCAGACTATTTCTACTTAGATGGTGGATGGTAACAGTGTAATTATTTGACTTCATAGTAATAATCCTCATTAGACTCAGAAACATAACGTCATCTAAGAGGAAGCAGGGACACTGTCTGCCAAAGAGGGCCAGAGGTGGTGACTTAAGACAGCTCTACTGGACATAACAAAGGCTAAGAAAGCCTACCCAAACTCTACCTATCTCTTCCTCTCAAAGTGAAACAAGCAAAACTGGGAAAAACTTCAACATACCCACATGAAATCAGTTTTACCCTTCCCTGAGCAAGGTCCCAATGTCCATCTCCCTTGAACCTCTGAAGTGGGAATTTGCAAATAACTCTGCATGTTTCTGTGACCAATTGCGTTATCAGAGAGCTAAATCAATCTACAGGAATCCCATGTTAATATTATAACTGTACTATTAATGTATTTTCTGTTTGTATGACAGTCTCCTAGTTTATGGGGAAGCTTGTAGTGTTTCTGAAGTCCCCTAGAGTGAGACACTTAAGGTCTGAGTCTTCTTCCATGCTCTGCACTGACTTGATGTTTTTTCCATCTGTTAAAATGAGGATACTGAGACCTATCTTAGAGTCTTCAGACCTTTAGAGTGAGAAGGAATAATTTTTTTTAGCCTTTTCCCTTTGGAAACAAGCCTTCTTTCATATGCAGCCTTTTTTGCTACAGATGTATGAGGATTTCTCATTTTTCACTGGTCTTTTTGGAACTTTCCTTTCATCGCTTAACAATTTCATGCAGGTGTTGGAGAGTCAGATGCACCTTCCCAGGTAAACACAAAGATTTTGAAATTCACATGGAAGGCACATACGTGTGCACTCTTACAGTCTGTATCTGGGAGGGATTTTTTAGGCAATTTCTGTTGTGAATGGACAAATATTCACCAACAGGTATCTTTTTTTCTCTTCTAGAGTGTCAGTCAGCGACTGCCCTTCAACTCATGATCAAGCGCTGTCATGGAAGAAGAAGTTGCAGCATATATGCCAGCACTTATGAATTTGGAGATCCTTGTTACCCAGGAATCCAAAAGCATCTTAATGTCATCTACACCTGTGGTGAGCTGCAAAAGTTTCTTACTGTAACCTTCCTGGGAATGTGTGTTTGATGAACACGTGTGTGAAGAAGGACAAGACCTGTAATGGTGCGTTAGAAGTTGTTGAGCTTCCACTTGGCTCAGGATGATTCCTATTTGGTCAGCAAGGGAAAGGTCTGTGGATCACCTGAGTGGTTTAATTCTGTCTCTTTTTCTACTCATTGGCTTGACAGTAAAAGGAGAAAACATGAAAGCATGAAAATGATGTTTTGTTAACCCATTCAATATTGCTTCTGCAAGGCAAGAAAACGTGGCAGTGGAACCAAAATGCTCTGTGGATTCTTACATCCTGAATGTCAGCTTCCTGCTGCTTCATTTGACTGCAGCAAAGTTGTGGATGTCACTAGGATCCTTATTACTTTGTTCTTTATTCAGTTTTGTACAGTAGAATAAGACAACCATCAATCCATACTCATCCATGGTAAAATCACTCCCAAAATCTTCAGGTGAACATTGCAACATTTTTCTAACAAAATAGAATAATAGAATCATCCTGGTTGGAAGGCACCCTGAAGATCACCAAGTCCAACCATAACCTAAATCCCCCTACCATAACCTAACTTACCCATTCAGTGCTTAAATCATGTTGCTAAGCACTATATCTATATTTCTTTTAAATACTTCCAGGGATGGTGACTCCACCACCTCCCTGGGCAGCCTGTTCCACTGAAAATATAAATACTGTTATTTGAAAAAAACCCACCAAAACACAACACAGTTGGAGCTCTCATTTGGGAACTGAAGTCATAGTGTTGAGCAGACTGTACTCCTCCTTGACTAGTCATACTTTGTAACAGAGAAAGCGTTGTTCCTCTCTGAACCCTGTGGTGTGGAAACATCAGGTCTGTCTTCTCCTAGTGGTGGCACTTTGGATTTGTAGCTGCTGTATTTAAAAACCCTTCAAGGTTTTGCTTATATTGTTGTTGCTAGGATCAGCTCAATCACTTTCTTTCTCTATTCCTTTCTCCACTCGCCTGGAAGAGGAAATTCTGGTGCTATTTTGAATCTGCAGAGCATGTGGTAGAGGAGGTGCTTTCTGTGTCCTCAGACAACAACAGGTCTGGGGGTCAATCTCTGTGTGTAACATGTAACATCTAGTGTGCAGAGTCTGAGAGATGGTGGTTGAGGGTGAGTCCCTATCCCATTTTGCAGAGCCACTATATCTTGGTGGATGTCCAGTACTTTGAAGAGCAGAGAGATTCATGCAGGGGCATCAGGCTCTGAGCTCCTGCCTGGCTGTTGTTTTATTTGGCAGCAGTGGCAGGAAGGTTGGATTTTTTTTATTTTCATTTGACTTGGTTTTTGTTTGAAATGATGTAGCAAGGCTATCCATGGAAAACCCTTTGACTTTTCTAGCCAGGGAGGTAATTTTTTTATATCACTTTTCTCATAGAGAGACTGGAGAGAAGCTTATCCTCATTGTGGTTTGACAGAAATGAAGGCAATACAGCACAACAGGAGCTCCATAACTTAAAAATCCAAGGACAAACAAAACAGAGCCCCACGATGTATTTCCAAGAGGATATCTCCTTCATAGACTTCCACGGCTTTATTCTGCCAGTGTGGCCCTAGTCTCAAAGTCCACTACAAAAGGCATTAATGATACCTTAATCTGACCTGAACCTTCCCAGTCATAGCCTAACTGCATCAGGAAATGAGTCACACTTGAGAGCACAAAATGGCATGTTTTGCTTTTTAGTGGGTGATATCTGCCTCATCCTTTGGAGGTGGCCATGGCTCCTTTTCAAAACCATGATCTCAGACATGTCTCTGAGCTGGATTTTGTGATCACCAGACACATATTTCTCCCCTCAAACAGCAAAATCCTTCAAAATGTGAAAACCAAATAAACAAGAAATCAAATTCCAGTCCCATGTGCTTGTGATGGACAGAAATAAATCCTGGTATTCTTTTAAAAGAAATTACAAACCCGAGCAATTTGATGTTCTTATGGTTTAGAGAATGATTGCAATGTGGCAAACATGCTCTTGGGTACCTCTTTGTTTCAGGTTTCCATAAAGCTGCATGCATTATTGCTCCTGGTATGGCATTCTCCTGCTTTCACAAAACCTGTGGGAGGGAAAGGGGACAGGCTTTGACTGGTTGAAGTGACTGTCATGATATCTAGGTGCATATCCCTGTTCCCCACCTCTTGCAGTTGGGAACACTTGGTCCCTGGAGCGCAGGCTGAGGCTTTGCTGGTGTTCCCTGGAGAGCAGTGGAAGATGCAGGGTGACCCTGGCACAGTTTGGCAAACAGGAGGGGTGTACAAAATGGGTTTCTCTGAGCATCACTTCAGCCTTTCTTGTTGCTGCTTCAAGGGCGGGACTTCATAACTCTCTGAGATCCTTGGCCAGTGTTACTGACCCACTCTGCTGCTTCAGAAGAGCTGGTGAGACCAAGCACACTGGTGGATGTGTCAGCGTGGGTAGGAGGGCCCTCACACAGACTTTTCCCATGTGAGAAACTGCAGTAATATAAGAGGACGGGGCAGCTGGTTTCTGCTTTTGGTGCTGAGGCATGGGGAGGGCTGGGAAGAGACAAATATGTCCTCTGCTGATAGCAATTCAGGAAAAAAATCTGTTGAGAGAGTAATTTATGAAGTGACAAAAGGCAAAGTGAATTGCAAACCCATGTGTTTTTACCAGAACCCATGGCCCTTTAGCAGAGGTGACAGACATTAATGCTGGTGTTGGCTGTGTAAAGCAGTGAGTAGTGAAGAGCTAGTGAGGTGACTTATCTTCCAGAACCTGCAAGCAGAACATCTGGAAGAATGTCTTAGGTCAGCACATCCAGACTGTTCTTCTCTGGCTCAACAGTAGGGTCTGAACACTATCCTGGATCTGCAAGAGGTTACTGGATGAGGGAAAAGCTTTGCTTTCTTTCAGCCATGCCCAAATTTCTTGAAGGTTCTTTCCTCCTGCCTTCATGTTTTATTGGACATAAGAATTCCTGCCTCACACACACAACTTTATTGATGAATCTGGTTTTAAGTAAAGCTGTTATTTATTTTTTTGCCCAGCTGTATGTTTTTGAGTAATTTTTTGTAATTATTCCAGCCACTGGGAGTGTCTCAAGTCAGCAACTCTCTGTATCATACTAGATCCCTCTGCACCTTGTATAAACAGCCTATAGGCATCACTTAGCTGAGAGGGAGATGCTGCATGTTACCATGGGTGGACAAGATGATGGAAACAAGCAAGGAACCAGCAGCCCTTCATGACAGTGATCTCTCATGTGCAGTAGGGTCCTGTTCGTCCACCCAAGGAAACATGAAAAATCCTCCAATGTAACAACATTCCCAAAAAACCCAAACCTTGCCAGGAGCTGAAATATAGTTTTGGCCCAAAGGTAGTTTTAGCTGGAGGGGTAGTGTGGGAAGTGGGATTTTCCACTAAGTGGGTCCCATTACTGCCTTAATGAACACATTCATTATTTTTAATTTTATTTTTTTTTTTTAAAGGAAAAAGCAAGTTAATTCTGGGAAATCACATAACGTGGTGGTAGGGTTGTTTTCAGAATGTGACAGGTGTGATTAGAGAGAGATACAAAAATATTATCTCTGTCTGTTCTTTGAAATACCCTGAAACTCTCAGAGGATAGCAGCAAATAGGAAAGTATTCATACTGGTGTCCTTGTGGTTACTTACTGATAAAAGCCACTGTATTCCTGACCTTTACCATTTTCTTAACTGTCCACTTACCTTCAAAGACTCCCTTGAATTCTCCCAGTCTCTTTCCTCTAGGCTGGTTCTTTTGGCCTTACTGGAGTCTTCACTCAGCAACGTATTCAAACACTCTGTTGGATTTTTTTCACATACATAATGCCACTTGGATTCAAGGAAGTGTTTAAGTGTCTGCTTTATTCTAAGACCCATGCATAAATACCATGAAAGTTAAATATTTTCTCAAATACTTCTTGAGTGGGAATGAGAGGCTCGTCTGTGTGTAAAGAGAAACTTTATTTTCAGCACTGAGAGTCAAGAGAAAGGAGCAATCCAGAGTGCCTGCTGTCCCCACTGCCTCCCCCTGCAACCAATGGAGGCTGCAAATGTAAACCCTCTTAAGTACCTTCTGTTCTTGAAATAGGGACATCCATCAGAAATGGTCCAATGAGGGAGAAAACAAAATAAGAAAAAATCTAAAAAATATGGGGATTGTAAATTTCTTGGTGTCTAAGTGTGTTTCTGTTGGTTGGCTATCAGTCCTGATAACTGGTGGCTTTAAAAAGTGCCTTTATTAGGCATATGTTGGACAAAATGGAGGATGTGTGACCTTGGATGTATTTTTGATGTGGGTATCCATCGTGTGTGTGTTTAGATGTGTGGGTGTCTCCTGCTTGCTTCATGCTTGATGGAAAGGAGTCATTGGGCTGAGACATAATGAACTGCCATGGCAACTCATAAATTGCTTGGAAAATCCTGCAGTTCTGCCACATTAATAATCTTGCCATCCTGCTTTATGAGGCAATAAGCTGAGTCCCAGAGGGAAAGTGCTTTGTGTCCCAGTGAGAGGGCCAGGCAGGTGAAGGACAAAGCATGAGCACAGGGTCAGCAGCTGCCATTTCACAGGGTCTGATGATGCTGGAAGAACAGATGGGCTTAATCAGATGGGGTAGAGATGCTCTGGGGTGGTGGGGGTGTGCTGACCTTTGCTTTCCCTGAGTGCTTGGGAAAGCAGTCTGTCTTTCTCCAAAATGTTATGTTTAAATAAACAGTCTAGCAAGTTGAACTACAGGCAGGGTCTGTGTTGGACAAGACAGCTCTGAGGTGGTTGTCCTCATCATGGTGATGAGGAGAGAGCCTGAAGAGCTACACAGATTCCTTCCTGTCTTCTCAAAGGAACTGTGCTCTAGTCCATTACCTCCTGTGCAGTAAATCTTTCAGTGCCTCAGGCTGGATTAATATAATGGTCTTTTGCCCTTAAAATTTATGAATTCATGAATGTAGAAAATGTATTTTTA